AATAAAAATAATTGGTATCGATAGCAAATTAATATTCCAATATTTCAAATGTTAAAATGTGTTAATTTACTAAAATCGAAATTATTGTTTTAATTTGAAACGATAAAGAACTAATTACTTTATTTACTGCGTCGCAATTATGACATTGTTAATTGTAATTAACGATTAATGATTGTTGTATTATTTATATACTGCTTTGTTAAGACGATGAATTCTTTGAATTCTTTTTTTCTATACCCACAATGTAATAATTATATATTTTTAATTAAACAAAAATAATTATTATTAAATATAAAAATAGTTTTTTGATTATATAATTAAATCCCAATAAGCAATTAAAAAAAAAAAGTTTAAAAAGCCTAAAGTTCAATCGAAATGCAAAATAGTGTTGCCATCTTATAAAATTCCAATACTTATACTCAAATTATTGAATTTATCGAAATTAAAAAATACTTAAATACTTTTAATATCAAATAATTTTACTTTAACATTTCATTAATCAAAATTTGACTGATATAGTAAATATTAATGAATAAATGACCTGATTCGTATTTATTCTACAACCAAAACAGCATGTGAAGGAGGTACGTGTGAACCACATAAATTAAATAGATAAAAGTAATTTTCTTTTTTTTCTAAAGATATATTAATTGAATATTTCGATTACTTTTTTCAATATCTTTTAATAAGAGAACTTGTTACAAATGTCACAAATGTAAAAGAAAGAGAATTTCCGATAGGTCGAATAGAAATATAAGGCTAGAAATGGTATCAAGACAAATTATTATTGATTAATGAAGTTTCTAAAAAAAAAGATTAGGTGTCAATTCATCGAACATTACTTCCTATTGATCCTTCGTTATTTTCAAGGGTCACGACATCATAATATAGATAATTATTTAACTATTGATATTTACCAATATATACACCCATGTCTGTTTCTCAAAAAATCATTGATTGCTTGAATATTAAAAACTCGTGAAAGGTCGAACCTTCTAACAATAAGAATTTTGGATGTGGAGTGTTGTGATGGAAAGATTTTAACGAAACCTCCTCCTAAAAATCACCTGAACAAAATCAAATGTGCGATATTTTCCCTCAAAACCATGTTTTCCTCGTATAACCAAAATAATATCATACAGTGGCTGATTTTATTGGTCTCAATCTTGCATCTCAACCAATGATAATCGTTGCATGCTTTTTTAACGTCCGAATTTATATTTGAGAGTTTTCTTATTACAATATATAAGTAAGTATTTCCTTTCAAAATAAAAAAATTTTCAATTATTTCGGAATTCCCCTTTTTTTTTTTTTTTTTCTTTTTTATTTAAATAAAAAAAGATAAATAAAAAAGATGGAGTTAGTGAGAAAGGTATCGAGTCAAAATGAAACAGTAGCTTCTCCACTTGATATTGGGAGTATCAATTACCGAGGGTACTTAAAAGTACCTGATCAAAGCCCAGAATATTTATCACCCGCCAACACTACCTTAATTGACCAAGTGGTCTCGGTACAAACCAGTGAGTCATCATTTTTTTACCCTTTCAAAATCAATTTTCCATAATCGTTCACCTTTCTTTGACGTCCGATAAATCATAGTACAGGCGCACATCAATTTATTGATTAGATTTACGAAACGATTGGAACAAAATGATTCAACCCTTTTATTAGGATATTTATTAAGAGCGGAACAAAGATATATTTTATGGTTAAATTTATTAGACGAATTAAAACCGAAACCCGAATCAATTCCGATCCCACCATTAGATGTGTCGGTATTTTGGAGTGCGCACATGACGAATCCGTCAACGTATCAAGAGGATTTGATCCGGATGTATGGTGAACATATGATGTCATATGATTTCCCTTTGATTCGAATGGACTCTGAGATTGATACGGAATCCGTAACGATTTGGCAAGAATATTCCAAAGAACCTTACCTGTTGGAATATAAAGATGACAGACCTTTCTTAATTCGATGTCCATTTTGTATGAAAGACAATTTGATCGAGCAAGAAAAGTTCATACAATTAAAGATGAAACTAGGGAATCATCAATGTTCACGATGTGAAATCAAATTAGATTCTGATATCTTATCATCAAAGAGGATGTTAAATGATATTGAGAACTATTTAAAAGATGAGAGGAAATGTCTGGCGGGAACATTATTAAACGATTGTACCAATAAAGTAGATTACAGACACGCAAAGGAGGAGAATCGATTATTATTTGATCAAGATATCATAAGGGAGATAATCCGATTGAGTTCCACCACGTATACCGGAAAACCGTCCCCACCATCATTATACATACCAAATATTCAAGATAATTGTAATTGGAAGGTGATACGGGAAGAGATTATTCGAGTGCTTTACAAATTAGATTCACAATCGGAATTAAGTTATCTAAGGAAGGACATCCATGATAGGGTAATTTCATCATATGAACATTTAATTACTCCATTTTCATTGGACTTGATCGGAACGGTTTTAAGGTATAAAGATGTGGTTTGTAAAATTTTAATGAACGGGGAAGATTGCGATGAAGAGGATGTCTTGAATAGGTCAACCATAAGGTATCAAAAATTCCTGTCATTAAAACGAAAACATCCAGATAAGGGTTTAATACCCACGGTGGACATATTAAATTGTTGGTTCATTCACATGTTACACCCGATTCAATATCAAACATTCACATTAAGTTTGGTGGGTAAAATATTAAATCATGAAGGACCATTAGATGAAAAGAAAATGGTGGAGGAATTTGCCAAAACATGTTTACTGTGGTATAAGAATTATAATGAACCATATTCTTCCGATAATCCTTCCAAAAAATGGAAAAAACGTAAATCTCGGATTGTGCTGTCCGTAGTGTTTCCCGTATATGGTCTGTTCGTGGCTCAAAAATTATGGAAACTTTCTAAAACTCATGATAAAAAAATGGGAAATGGCTTGACCATTTAAATGATACAATCAAATTTAGTTCAATATTTCTTAAATGGTATATCAAGGAAATATCAACTGATTATCCAACCCAAAAACGGAAGATCATAAAGATAATCAATGCTACAATACCTTCGTTAAAAACTTTATACAAATGTGACTTTATTATGCATGATCATCAATAAACAATATTTCCGTCCAACAAAATAAAAATAAATCTTTATATAAACAGTCTTCGATGATAAAAATAAAAAAAAAAAAAAAAAATAGAAACCAAATAAATTTTTTTTTTTTTTAAGGAAAAAGGAAAAAATCATTTTAAAAATGGCTACTAAACCTACCGAAAAAGAATTATCTGATGTTTCATTTGCCGTGCAAAAATTGTGGGACTTGGATACTAATAGATTAACACCAGGTGTTGATGTAGGTGTATGATATAAAAATAATAATCGCCAAAGAAATATAAATTACCGTTTTTAATCTTAAATTTAATTCATGACCTTTCGTAGTATGATATTAACTTGCCATTGGCACTTCGTAAAGGTAAAATATATCATAACCATTAAACACTTTTATGAATTAAACCCGTCATGTGTTAATATTTTGATATCTAAAAAATTACCTATTTTTAGGAGATAACACGCGAGATCATTTATTTAAATTTGTATCCAATAAACCTAGCAAAATGCCGACATTTCAATTATTTTATCATTTGCTTGATAATTACATTCCAGAAACCGGTATACCGGAAGAAGTCGATACTCACGAATTAAGTGAAAATCAGGCTTTCCTTAAGGCGTGTTTACAAACTGCTCCAATGATTTACACTTTAAATTATTTGAAAGCAAAAGGACTATTTCAGGGAACTGAAGCTGCATTTGAAAAGGCACTTGATAATATATGGTTTAAACTTTATAGAAGAGAAGGTGTTGGTAAAGATTCCTCCGCTTTTGAGCACGTTTTTGTTGGTGAGATTAGAAACGGGGAAGCAAAAGGTAGGTCGTAAAATCGTTTCTTGTCGATTGATTTGCCGATTTAATTAAACATCTTGTTATTTACAGCGTTTCATAATTGGATTACGCTTTACTTTTATGAGAAAACCGGTAAAATTGATTATGAAGGTTTCGTTCCAAGCAGGGGAAGCAGAAATGAAAAGGTTGGTACCTTCACCTTAATTTTATTTTCCCACCTGTTGAATTCCTTCTAACATTTCTTGCTCTACAAGCCCGATCCAACTGCTCATATAATTCCCATAAGATTTACGTTTAAAGGAGCCCTTAAACCTTTCTCCACTTCATTCATCGGCACCTCTCCAGAATTCGAGTTGGCAATGTATACCATGTTATTTTATCTTGGAAGACAAGATACCAAAGTGAGATTAGATGATATCAATTTAAACATTAAGATTTATCCTTTTTCTGAAAAAGATGGTGATGGTACCAAATTAATAGGTTCCGCTTTTCCCGAGATCGTTTAACATGCTTGCTGCGGTTATATAAACCTGTTATAAAATAATTATAAATAAACCTAATTTATTTTTAAAAAAATTAAATACCCGTTGGGATTACCGTTTCTCCAATTGAAAGCGCAGGAATGGAAATTAATCTTTTAATAGTATTTTCCCACATTCTACAAAGGTTCAAACTAATTTAAAAGATTCGTCGGAATTACATATGTATATATATGTAAATAAATAAAAGATATTTCGCATGTGAAATCATATTCTTTTGTCGTTGATTATTTTAATACGTAATGAGCTAAATAATGTATGCATAAGATTTTCACGTGTTTCAAATTACAAATAAAGAAAAACCTAAGCTATTCTTCCAGGAATTCTCCATCCGGAACTATAAGCTAAGATAAAAATGACTAATAAAATACTATATTCAACGAAACCAAAAATAAATCTAATGATCTTGTTATCCATGGCCATCTCAACAAGTAACCAAATAATTGCTAATCCTACAAAAATCCATGTCAATATTTCGACAGCTCGCCCTGATCCTGTTCCTGCTCCACGCCCGAGTGTGTTGATAACCAGGGCTGTTAGTAACCCCAATAAAAGGTCACGAGATATTCTTGCCGCTCGTCGTGGCCCATTATCCTGACAATTAGGAAAATAAAATAAAAGGTATCGAGTTAACGAACGAATTTATTATATTGTAAATTGATATTTTTTTTTTTTTAACGCTTACCATAATTTCGGCAAATCCTCCTTTCTTGGCGTTAGCCCCTCTATCTCTTTCAAGGGATGCATCTGGCCTTTCAGTTGTATGAGCATTCCTGGTCTTCGTCTCTCTTGAAATCAATTTAAGAAGTCTAATTGATTTGCATGAAAAAAATTTAATTTGATGTCATCATAAACAAATTAAACCTTTTCTTTACACGTACGTTAAAAGTGCCCATAAAATCCAAAGAACCCAAAGACCTATCCATGCAGAACGAATGGGCCTTGTCAAAAAAAAATTTGGAATTCCATCGCCAGGTATGATAGTAACTTGAGCAGAAATAGGAAGAATGTCATTAAAAATTTTCACGGCTACTAAAAGAGATGCGACTTGTATTGAAGATGTGACAAACATATTATTTTTTAATTAATTAAAAAAGAAGAAAAAATTAGGTATCTGAAATTTTTTAAAAAATAAACTCTTTTTATTAAAAAAAACAAAAAAAAAAACTTCCCATTACAAGTACTTTGGTCATAGTTAGATCGATTGCCAAAATTATAATATATTTTATCATATTTACGTCTTCTGCCCCCCCCCCAAAAAAATTTGGAGTATTATTTCACTCTTAATTTATTAGATAAGTCAAAACGGGAAGAACGTATATGTGACGTATCATCGGGTTACATTAGCTACGAAAATTAATTATAATGTGAAAAAACATAAATTTATTTCCGTGATTACTAAAGAAAATTTCTTATTTACACTTGCGTGATGTTTCAATTTATCACATATGCTATGTTTCGTTTTTACTAAATTATCTGAAAACTTGAAAATTTTTATGTACTAAAATGTCATCCTCGTAAAAATTCAATGTTTAATTACAATAATTTCATTTGTATTATTATATTAACAAATATTTTTTGTAAAACATCTAAATTTGGGATTAATACTAAACATGTATTAACTGAGCTGGATAGTAAATATATAAAGTAAATTTGTTGAAATTGATTTATATTAATCAAAATTGAATAATTAAATTTTTTCAAGAAATAATCAAAATCATTTGTTTTTATACATTTTAAAATAAGCAACAAGACATTAAAGTTACAATTTAACAAAAGAAAAAACAAGTTTTGTAATTGTAAAAAAAAATAAAATATTTAAACAAATTCATTAGTATAAATAAAATGAAATTAAAATAATTTACAATAATAACTTCTAAGAATTAATTATTATCAAAATATTATATATTATTAAATTTTTCATTAAAAAAAAAAAGTTTATAATCTAAACATAAAATATTATCTAAAATCTAAAATCAAGAATTTTAACATATTTGATTATATAAAAGAATTTGAAAAATTATGCATTTTTTTTTATAAATTAAATATTAATTCCTTTAGATAAAAAAAAATTTTAAAATAAATGAATAATATTACCTTAAAATTATATTTATAAGATTTTTTAAAATTGAAAAGTTTTTTTTTACTTAAATTTAATATACTAATAAATAAATGAAAATAATCAAAAATTTCAAAAATATATTTAATAAAATTAATTAAATATATAAAATATAATATATAAATTAATTAAAATATTAATAGCAATAAATCTTTATAATAATATTTTATATAAGTAGCTAACTCTAAAAAAAATAAATAAAGTAAATTAAATGATATTAAAAAATATAAGGATAATTATTCTATTATAATATTATTTACATATTTAAAAAATTAACTAAAACCAATTTATTTTATTATAATAAAAAAAATATTAATAATCCTCTATACAGTGTATAAAATTTAGACCAAAAGTCATGCATATAAGTTGTACTAAAAATAGAAAATTAATGCATGTATTACATAGTATTTCCATTTTTATATATAATTTATCTATTTTTAATAATTATTTATGCACATTTTATGCTGTATAATATGTATACAAAATAATTTAATGTGTATATAAGCACATTATGCACATGAATTTTACATGCTTCTATATATATTATTGAAAAATTAGACAATTTTTAAACAATTTTGTTAGTTTTAAACAGGTTATAAACATATTTTTATATTTAAAACCTGTTAAAATTATTCAAAATTATCAAATTTTCTAATAATATTTATATTATACATCAGTGTTGGGTTTTAGACACATTTTTTAATTTTAAATATTTTGGACAAGGTTATGAACATAGAAAAATGTGTCCATAACCTATCCATAACCTGTCCAAAATTGTCCAAAATTGTCCAATTTTCCAACATTATTATACATGTTATGGTAAATATTTATCAAAACTCAATATGTAATTTTAACATATAATATATAATTAATTACAAAAGAGTAATTAATTAATAATAATTATAAAAAATTAATTAATTTAAAAATAAAGCAAATATTAACTTACCTTATAGATTTGAAAGTATTTTTTGCATACTTTTTATAAAATTTAAAGTGATTTTATTAATAATAAAAGTTTTTAATTTTTTATTAATTATTATAATTAAATATATATTTGAAAAAAAATAAAATTCTACATGAAAAAGAGTAATTGTAAATTTTAATTAAAAATACAATAAAATTCAAAAAAAAAAAATTCAAAAAATTAATTATTAATTATAATAAAATAAAGTAATAACCTTTAAATACTTTTATTTGATACTTTTTTTTATAAATATGATAATTTCACAATATACATTTATGTTAATATAGTATTTAATAAATTAAATAAATATTTAAAAAAACAAAAAATTTAAGAATTAATAAAGTTATGAAAAGTTATATTATTTAGCAAATATTAAACTAATCTAGATAAAAATTTATATATAAGTAGTTTTAAATTTATAGAATATT